CTGGACACTTAATATTATAATTATAATATTTTTAAAATTAAAAAAACATGACTTCATAATATTTTTATATTATAATAAACAATTTTAACAAAGATAATTTTGATACCAAGACGTGACGACTTTTTTGAATTTCCTGCTAGACTTTATGGTGCCGGTTCTAAGATTTTGCCCATCACATACTGTGCCAATACACGAAAAAGACACATCAATGAGTGTCTCTCACATGTGCTCGGAAAAATGAAATTTCGCATCGTCATCAGAAAGAATCATTATCAATGTTCAATTTTTTAGACAAATGACACGGGGAGTCGTCGAATGGCACCAGTAATTAGATAATTACGAAAAGAAAAAAATGGATCTAGACACTGCAAAATACTTATTATATTAAGAAAAAAACATAAAGTTTAGGTCACTCATTGACATTCATGAAAAACTTCCTTAATTTTTTTAATTAAAATAGGAAACCTAGGAAAACCATGACTAATTATACACTAATTTTGATTCCTTTGAATGTTTCTTTCCAATTTTTTTTTTCTTAAACAAAGATTGTGATAAAGAGGTCAAAGATTCACCTGATATGGGAACTGCTCTAGAATGCTGGGTAAACGCATTTTCTTCTTCACCAATAATAATGGATTAGAGAATTCATTTGTGGACCGTACTAGTAAACTAATGAGTACATTATTTAAGAGAAATCATGCACCATCACAATTTAATTGATTGATTTATATAATTTTTAAAGGGGAGAGTGAGGGTAGGAGGAGACGGTACGATCCATCAGGGGAGTGGGTTTGGGGCTTATCCTTGTTAGAAAGAATGGGAACGGGACAACTGCCTGCGTATGGAGACAGACAAGTCACAAGTTGAAGTGTTGTGTCGGCCATATTTAAAGTGACAAAAGTCAATTAACACGTGAATATATTCGATTATAAAATTATAAAACAAACCCCACGTTTTATTTGGTGTGTCGACTGTCACGACCAATGAAAATTGGACACAAACTCGTATCACACGTGGTAACGCTCAGACTCTTTTGATCTGATATGAGTTCGGGTGGTTTTGGTCTTGATCTGATCGTAGTTATCTCTTTTATTTCTATTGGCCCACTTCTCCGCCAACCAAAATCTCAAAATTATGTCTGGATGTCTTGTTTTGTATAGACTGAACTTCTAGATATCTTCGGCATTCTCAACTGCCCCATGCTTATGGACATAAATGTTTTGGACTTTTTGGTCGAGAAAATTCCATTCCCTTGACAATATTTGCGTATTATTGCATATTTTCTGCGTCAGTTGTACTCCAATTTCTTCGAGACAATAAGACAACTGGTTATGATGGCTATAACTATGATCATTATTAAATTTGTTAATATTATAATATTATTAAAAATAATTAAAAATAATTATTTAATATATTAAAATTAATTTATAAATGAATATCTTTAAATATTATAATTAATTATTTAAAAATTAAAAAAAATATTATTAAAATTAATAATTTTAACAAAATATTTAATAGCAAATCTTCTAATATTTTTCAATAGAAAAGATTTTCCAAGATTAGTAATTGGTGACTTAGTCAAGTAATTAACCAACAATATTCCTTTTCTCCCTAAATTTTTTATATTCAAATTGTTAAAATACTTTAGTCCCTCAACTTTTAGATTGGTACTAAATTTATCCTTAAATTTTAAAAAGTACCAAAATTATCCTTCAACTTAATTTTTTTCGTAACTTTTTGGTCCTTCTGTTAATGAAATGTAGATCTGTCACATTAAGTGTTGATAATTTTTTTGATTTTTAATGTGACATGGTATTTTATAAATATATTACTTTGCTTAGCTAGGCAATTTTCACCACTTATTGGCATTTAAATATTATATGATCCAAAAAAACTTACAGACACTAAAAAATCTTCTCACACAATTAATTAATTAAAACATAATAAAATACCAAAAATAACCACCTTCAACCTCAATCCATTCATTTTCCTTGTCTTGCCACTTTTTCTCTCTTCCTCCATTACCATTTCTCCACCCATCTCCTCCCATGTCTCCTCTTGTGAGTTCTCCATTGTGTAGATCTGGGCAGCCCTCCTCCTCCTTTCTTTTTCTTCTTCTTTCCCTCTCTTCCCCCCTTCTTGATATGTTAAAGGAGAACCTAAATCTAGGTTCTCCAAGAGAACTCGTGGGTCCTTAAGGAGAACTTAGATTTGGGCTCTTGAACTTGGAGGAGGATGACAGAGGAGAGAGAAGGAAATAGGAGGATGAAGAAGATAATGAGTTTTTATAAATTTTTTGTTAGAATTTTTACAATTTTGATAATATGGTGTGTTGTTCGGTTGTTAAAAAAATTAGAGGTGGAAAGAAATTTTCATTTGTAAAATATGTCTGGTTCCTAAAAAAATCTAGCTAGGATGACAAGAGAAACTTTCATTGTTATTGAGAAATTTATATAGACTAGAGAGGAAGATGAACATGGAAGAAAATGAACAAAGGAGATAATTCCCAAATCTTTTCCAAATCATTTGATTTTTTTTTAATTAAAGGTAATTGATAATTTAAATCTATTGCTAATTATTTGATTGATTAGTTAATATGTTAATTACATAAATTATTTAGTACTTTTTAATTCATCATCTTTTTGAAAAACTTTACTTATATATTTTTTAATTAATTAATTAAAAAGTATAATTTATAAAATATATGGCTTCTTATTTGTCCACATTAGATTAAAAATGCCTCATGAAAAGAACGAAATATCAATTCATCACTTTATACAAGTTTCCTTTACCACATCATTTTCCACATCATTATTTTTTTTCTTAAATGTGTTAGTTTTTAGCAACTCAACCGCCACTTGATTATTCCATTGACAAAATGATGAAATTGATATCAAAAATTAAAGTTTAAGGATATTTTGGTATTTTTCTAAATTCAAGGATAAATTTAGTACAAAATTAAAAATGAAGGGATCCAATGAATATTTTAATCTATGTAGATTAAGTCAATATTATGCAAGCTTGACTTTTCCAAATTCCTCTATAAAGGTTAGGCCAGTACCAAACGCTGCCTTAGAAATTTTAAAATTGGAGAAATTCCAAATCGGACAAAGAACATGCTCACACCAAAAGGCACCTATTACTTCACGAGACACACACGCCGATCAAAAAAGAAAAAAAAAAACACCTTCACGAGATACACACACGCACAGAGTACTTCTATGTCTATAGACATAATGATAAAGTAGGAAACTACCATTGGGCCACACCCACAATCAACGTTCATTTAAAAAAAGACCGCCATTTCTTTCACGTTCTCTTTTCGCATCTTCTTCACTTTCACACGCTGATACCCACAAAGCCCCCCCAACTCCCCTTTAACTACCCTTCCCCAACCCCCCTTCCCATCCCTCTATCTCCGATTTTTTTTTTTTTTTATGTATATTAGATTTTGGAATTAGTTTGTTTCGTGGTACTGTTGTTTTTAATTTCCTTCGATTATTGCATAGGAAACAACCTAGAAATTAGTACAAACATCATGAGCAATCTACAGGATTGGCCTGAACCAATAGTTCGAGTCCAGTCCTTGTCTGAAAGCAGCCTCCACACAATTCCCAATAGGTACATCAAGCCACCACATGACAGGCCATCGTTAACCATCTTCGACAGCACTGTTGCGGAAGCTAACATCCCCATCATCGATCTTGCTGGTTTATTCAGTGACGATAAGGTTCTTCATGCCAAAATTCAGGATGAAATTTTCAACGCGGCTCGTCATTGGGGTTTTTTTCAAGTCTTGAACCATGGAGTTAGGCCTGAACTCATGGATCGAGCCCGGGAAGCCTGGCGGGACTTCTTCCATTTGCCTATGGAGATGAAGCAAGCTTATGCAAACTCACCGAAAACTTATGAGGGGTACGGTAGCCGATTGGGAGTTCAAAAGGGTGCCATTCTTGATTGGAGCGATTACTATTTCCTTCACTATCTTCCATTGTCCCTCAAGGACTACAATAAATGGCCTGCCTCCCCAACTGATCTCAGGTTAGTTCATGTTGCAATATATTGTAGGAAAATCCCACAACGATAAATTGACAAAACGATTTTCTGTGACCTTACAAGTAAATCAACCCTATTCATCTATTGCTCTAAAAAAATGATTAATATACTCTGTAAAGTTATATGTTTTATTATATATTAATAGTTTTTGTTATTTGTACAGTTAAAATTAATTTTTTTTTGTTATTTATACCGTTAAAATTAATAATTTTTGTTATTTATGTCACTAAAATTGACGATTTTTGTTACATACTAATCATTTTCATCAATCTCTAATGAAATGTGTAACTGTACAGAATATATATATATTATTATCCATTGCTCTATTGATATTAGGCTGTGACTTGTGCCTAATTTTCCCAAAATTTATCCATTTCTATTTGAGTAAATATAGGGAGGTAATTGATGAATATGGGAGGGAGGTAGTGAAGCTATGTGGGAGGGTAATGAAGGTTTTGTCGACGAAACTAGGAATGAGAGAGGACCATCTGCAAAATACATTTGGTGGAGATGACTTTGGCGCCTGCCTAAGGGTGAATTTTTATCCGAAGTGTCCGCAGCCTGACTTGACCCTGGGTCTATCATCGCACTCGGACCCAGGTGGCTTGACCATGCTCTTGCCGGACCACCAGGTGTCCGGTCTTCAGGTTCGTAAAGACGGCAAGTGGATCACCGTAAAGCCAGCCCGCCACGCCTTTATCGTCAACATCGGTGATCAAATTCAGGTGACAATGGCTTGTACTTTCTCTCTTTGTTTACTTCTCTATATTATTATGTGAAAACGAATAATTTTGGACGGTATTAGAATTGATTGAGAATATGGCACGTGGAGGGGCCACTCTGTCAATAAATATCCGGGCCTCAACGCCTAGGGAGAGGAAAAACTACCTCATTTGGGTTGACATTAATTTAAGCTTATCCCTCCAGTCCATACTAAAAAAAAAAAAAATCAAATTCTGGCCTTTTTTACACATTCCCATTTGGAAGGACCAATTTTTTTTTTTTTAAATTAGTTTAACATTTTTTGTGGTACAATTCAAATCTAATTAAAGAGACAAAATGGACATATATATTTTTTTATTATTTTGAATTATGTAATAATAAGCAGTACTAGCTTTTTTAGTTGTTAATTCATTTTATCTATATATCATATCATTTAAACTTATAATATTTTATTTTTATTAAAAAAATACTATTAAGTTATTTAAATATTTTTATTAAAAAAATACTATTAAATTACTTAAATAGTTAGCATAGATAAACATTTGTTTTAAAAAATGGGATATGGTCAAGATGCTTTAATGATTCACCAATGGTGCACATGTCACCTTTCATGCTTTAATTTCTTTTTAATTTTATCTTCTTCTTTTACATTAATCAAAACCATTCTTTAAAGCAAATTCCATCTAATTATCAAGTACAGAGGGTAAAAAAGTTTATATTGATATTGACATCCCTTCAGTGACATATTTAAGTCGTTAATTTCCATTATACCGTAGAACTAGCAAAACTTGAGCTATTCTGTCAATGCAACTTAATTTGAGATCAAACAGAGCAGTTATTTTTGGCACCAATCTATTTAACCCAACTCATTTTATCCGTAACCTGCGCAAATAGAACCACAACTCCGTAATATGTAGGTTATCTTCTTTTCTTTTCTTTTTTTTATTAATACAATCATAATAAATTATATAATAAAAAATAACTATTTTCTTCCTAAATCCTTTCTTAGCAATCTTAAATTTTAAACTTGAAATTTTTCAATTTAAACTCCTAACTACTAAACTGTCTCTTAAGGGATAAGTTGTCTTCTATGATTTGTGAACCAATTTTACCCAATTCATTTAACCTAGAACCTATAATGATCCAATCCAAACTAAACTAATCGAACACATTTGTCAGGTCTACACATGTGGTAGGGTATCGACTATCATCAAGGCTATTCTTAATTGTTCAATTACTATAGAAATCAAACTTTTTTGCACAATTCTAATCTGTAATATATTTAATGAATCCATTTTGATGCATTTTGGAATTTGATTTATTTTGCATTTTGTTTTGTGATGGTTAATTATGTAGGTACTGAGCAATGCAAACTACAAGAGCGTGGAGCACAGAGTGATTGTGAATTCAGCACATGAAAGGGTGTCTCTTGCCTTCTTCTATAATCCAAAGAGTGATATTCCAATTGAACCAATTAAAGAGCTAGTTACGCCAGATAAGCCGGCATTATATCCTCCAATGACGTTTGACGAATACCGGCTTTTCATCAGAGCAAGGGGTCCCCAAGGCAAATCTCAAGTGGAATCTCTCAAATCTCCTAGATGTTGCAGTTCATGAGAAGCATATATGTATGTATAGCCTGTAATTAAATCCATTGTAAACACAATCCCTGTTTTTTCCCTTTTTAAATATGGGGTTGTTAATTTAATTGTAATTATCAACCGAGATAATAAAAGAGAGGCATAGTACAAAAAGAAAGAGGGCTTTATTAGTTTTTCTTTTTTTTCTTTTTTTTCTTTTTTTGCATTTATGGTTAAGTGTTCCTGGATAGTTTTTATGTGTAATTTAAAATTAATTCCTTTATATGCAATTTTAAGAACACATTCACCTATATCAGACTAATACATTCAAGGAAATTAACTATCTTCAATGTTGATTTCAAAACTTAAATGTTAAACTTGACCTATAAAATAACATTTTATTTGTCAATAAATCCAATTCTTGAGATTTCTATATATTGATTGCTATCTAATACTTTTGACATGATTTTTTAAAAATGAACCAAATTGTAGCGAAGGGGAGTAGTTTACATGTTATACCTGAGAATTTAACTCCTAACTCACTATTTCTAATTTCTTAAACTTGGGCGTTAAATAATTCTCCATTGAGGCTCAAGTGATAGAAAATAAATGTATATTATGTCTAAAAATAAAAGTTTATAAATTATTATTATTATTATTTGATTGCAAACAATTAAAATAAATTAGGCTTATTATTTTTTAAGGTAGTGTTTTGTTCAATGTCAATAAATAATGTAATTTGCATGTACCCATAAAATTAATCAAGACAAAAATGTCTATATTATATAAAAGACAAAAACAATTACGTCACTTAAAGTTGTTTCAGTTTCACCTTTTTTTGGTACAAAATTCTAATTTTATCACTTAACTTAAAAATTAATTTTTGAGGGCCCATATTAATGATCTAATTACATTCATTAAAGCAGCAAGTTGCTAATTAAAAAGTAAAAGCACTTGTAACTATACATGATTGATTGAAGTGTTTTTGGTAAATAATATTCCAACTCGTTATCAATAGAAAAAATTATTGGAATGAGGACCCATTAAAAAGAGGAAGAGAACTTATATGCATCCACTAGAGGACTTAATCAGCAAACAAATAATGCACAAGCACAATTGATAAGAACAAAACTACACCTAATCTTCGTTACAAGGTTGGAAAAAAATATAAATAAGGCACAACTTTAAGAAATGAACATGTCAATGACTTAAGTAATTTAGTGATCATTTTTTTCCGTTGAAAGTAAGAAATCATGAGTTCAAGTCATATGGCATGCAGGTGGGGGTGGGGTGAGATAAAGGATTGGAGATGATTGTTTCTTATTGTACAACTAAGATAAAAAAAAAAATCATTTTTATCCTTTGTATCTTTACTTCTCTTTTCTAGAGAACGGAATTAAATGTCAAACCACTAATAGGTGGCCGGGTGGAGTTCCAAATCCAGCACTCAGGTGGCAAACTAGAAGCAGAGTAGAAAAACACCTACAATCTTTTTCAACTAAATTAAAGTGAATTTATATCCACCTTTAGTTATTGTTTCGAACCTCAGACTTTGAAAAAGCCACGTCTCTTTGTTCAAACGTTAGATTTAATTACAGCCCCACTTTACGTATCTTATTGGTGCTTTTTGTCTCTCACTTGAATATAGAAATAGAGATATGAAAACATTAAGTCATCTTTTCTTGTTTAATTAAGTCGTATTAAGTACTATATCTTAGTTTTTCTATGCATCAATCATTCCACCAAAGTCAAGATTAAGGTTCTCAAAATCATGCTATTGGTTTTTTTTAAAAAAATTGTGTTAGTTAAGACGTAGGCTTTTGCAATTTTCGTTGATATTATATACTTCTGAAGAAAATGAGTAAAAATGGACAATAACGGAGTGCACTTCCCTTTTTATGTTTATGTAAATTTAAAAATGATTGGTGTGCATTATGGGTTGTTTTCTGTAGATTTGTTGGTTTGAAACTTCATCCATTTGAATGGTTGTTTTGTATCAATTTCACTCAAGCATTAAATTTATCCTAACACATTAGCTAGTAGAGTGAGATGCCTAATCTATATCAATGAAACATTAAATTTAGAAAAATTATTAATATATTTTTTGGTTCAACACACTTAATAATATCTTCGATTTAGTCATTAAATTTTGCCTTTGAAATTTTTTTTTTTGTCTTGAATTCAAATTTAAAAAAATTAGTTTTTTAATGATTGAATCAGAAGAATATTTTAGGTATGTTGAACTGGAGGATAAACCAATCATTTTTCTTAAATTTAACAGTTAGTTTTTGAAAATATTTATCAAATGATGGTGTTTTTGAAGTTAGAACTCTAATTTTTTTTATTGGATTTATAACTAATATACATTATCCTCATATATATAATTTTTTCAATGAAAGTTTATTGAAATAATATAATTTTGAGGTCATTTTCCTTTTAATTTTTTAGTGACTCAGCTGACAAACATTTCTATATATAGAGAGAGAGATTGAGGAAAATCTAAACATCCTAACAATTAAAATGTTAGGATTAATAGTGAAAAAATATCTTAATAAATTAATACACAAAAATTTTATTAAAATTATCATAATAATTTCATAAAAATTCTTGATATTTAAGTGCAGAACATTTTAATTTTTACTTTATATATATATATATATATGTGACCTTAAAATTTTAAACTAATAAGAACATAAACTACAGTCAAGACACCGACAAAGGTACTTATAATTTTAAGATTGGCATCTCAACTAAGTTATTTATTCCAATCAAGTTCTCTTAGGACCTTTACTAATTTACATCCTGAAAGCTAACTAAAATAACTTTCATGTCAATTGGTGAGTCTCTAGATTTTACACAACCATTACATTTAATTTAAAAGTATTTTCCTCCTTTATTCTAGTTTGGACTATGTGAATTTGATCAAAGAAGTCTAATTATTAGCCACTAACTTCGCAATGCAAATAAAGGGTGATGGTTGTTGAAAGAGAGGTCATAAAATAAAAAATCAACTTATGTTAGCGTCCACATTAGATAAGGGAGCTAAATGCCTAAATCGACAATTCATTATCAGAGGAAACGGTTGTGTAGTGGAGGAGCTTAATGAGAACGAAAGCTAATTTAACTTTAATGAATTATTTAGAACGAAAGCTACTGGAAGAGCTCAATGAGAACAAACGACTTATTGATTCAAATTTCAAAGACAAATCATAGAGTTGTTCCTTTAATTTTTCATAAAAGTCCATAAAAAAGATAAGTCCTCCATCATCTATCCATATTCCTTTTCTATCATTATTTCATTTGCTTACATCCCGCTTTGTTTGAAGGAAACAAAGGGAAAGTGGAGGAAGTTATCTCTTTTCGTTTGGTTAAATTAAAATAAAAAAATAATAATAATAATAAAAATAATAAAAAATTGTTTGCCTTTTTTTTTTTTTTTTTAAAAAAAAAATTTAATTTATGAAATATGAATAATGTAAAAAAACTAAAACACTTGAAAATTAAATCAAACATACTCTTAATCAGCAAACAAATAATGCACATATGATAAGAACAAAACTACACTTAATCTTAGTTAAAAGGCTGAAAATTAAAGTATACATAAGGCAGAACTTTGAGCGATCTTCAATTGTATCCTTCATTTCTTTACTCTTCTTTTCTAAAGAACGGAATTAAACTTCGAACAACCATTAGGTGCATGGCCGAGTGGGGTTCAAATCCAGCACTCAGGTGCCAAACTACTAGAAGCAAATTAAGTAGAAAAAACTTACAATCTTCCTACTCAATTAAAGTGAATTGATATCCACCTTTAATTATTCTTTCGAACCTCAGACTTGGAAAAAGCCACGCCTCTTTGCTCAAATGCTAGCTTTAATTAGAGCCCCTCGTTACTTATCTTATTCGTGCCTTTTGTCTTCCACTTGAATATAAAAGAAGAGATATGAAAAACATAAAGTCATCTTTTCTTGTTTAATTAACTCGAATTGAGTGGTATATCTCAGTCTTTCTTTGCATAAATCATTCTACCAAAGTCAAGATTATGGTTCTCAAAATAATATTATTGGTATTCCAAAAAGCTCACATGTTAGTTAAGACGTAGGGTTTTGCAATTTTCGTTAGTATTATACCTCAAAAGAAAATTAGTAAAAATTGGACAATAATGGAACGGACTTTCCTGTTTTATGTTTATGTAAATTCAAAAATGACTGGTGCGCATTATGGGTAGTTTCATATAGATTTGTTGGTTTGAAATTTCATCCCTTTGAATGGTTGTTTTGCATCAATTTCACTCAAGTACTAAATTTATCATGACACAATATCTAGAACTAGTGGGTACTGGGATGTTGATGAAGCACATATAGGAGCATTTATTTAGGAATCACATTCACTTAGGACCTTTACTAATTCATATCCTAAAAGCTAATTAAAGTAACTTTCATATCAATTAATCAGTCTCTAGAGTCTAGATTACTCAACCATTACATTTAATGTAAAATTATTATTTTTTTCCCCTATGTTCTAGTTTTAAATTTGTGATTTTAATTGATGAAGTCTGATAATTTGCCACAAACGTCGCAATGCATATGAAAGGGCGATGGTTGTTGAAAGAAGCGTCATAAAACACCAATTAAGTCAATTTTTATGTTAGCTTTCATGTCAGATAAAGGAGCTAAAATCAACAAGACATTAACAGAGGAAACGGTTGTGTAGTGGAGGAGGTTAATGAGAACGAAAGCTAATTTAACTTTATTGAATCATTCAGAACGGGAGCTACTGGAGGAGCTTAATGAGAGCAAACAACATAATTGAAAGGCAAATCATAGAGTTTTTCCTTTAATTTGGCCTAAAATTCCATAAAGAAGATAAGTCAGCCGTCATCCATCCATAGTCCGTTTCTATCGTTATGTCGTTTCCTTGATGCACCACGAGCACAAAATTGAAAAAGAATAATATTATAATTATAATATTA